CGAAAAAATCATGTTTCATTAGCAAAGAAAGTCTCGTCATTAAATTAAAGCTGCTTTGAGCTGCTCATTAATTTTTTTCTCAGAAAACAGTTTTAAAAATTTATAGAAGTTAAAAAAGTTGTTTTTGAAACTTTGGTGCTAAAAATAATAATTCTATAACTTAAACCAACATGCTTGAGTGCTTAAGAGAAGAGTCTAAAAAAAATTAGGAAGACTAAAAATTGTTGCAAATTTATTTTGGCGCTTTCAATAATGAAGCTTATTAATAAGATAAAGTCCAGAAATATGCACAAATTTTATTTATTTTTCCTTTTGAATGGGAATAACAATCAATAAAAATTTAATTAATTTCTCAATACGTTTGTACCAATAAAAAAATTTTATTATTGGAAAATTAATTTTTTCAAAAATAAAGCATTCAAAAAGTGAAGAAAAATGATTTTACGACAAGGAAAAATTCTAGTTCATCTTTTTATCGCAAAATTTGATTTATATCTCTGCTTTCGTCGTTTGGCATTCAGCTGCAAAATTTCCACGTCATTATTGATCGAAAGGGTTCAAAACAACCCTCTCTACGGTTCAAAAGCAAATATACACATTCAAAAGTGGCGCAGCAGATGTGTGTTTTTACCGGGGCGATAAGTGCCGACACGGTGCGCGTTGTTGTAACTCTATATAAATAATGAATGCCTGTATTGATAGATCGCGAGCGCGCTTTATTAGAGGCGACGCGAGTATGAAATATAACCGCAATTATCGGTGCCGGGTGGACAAAAAGCGCGACTGGTCTCTGCGCTCCTTTGCCACTCGTTTTAATAAGGTAGAACATGAATCACATGCGCGGCCCGTGTTATTATAAATGGCTACCCTTTCATTACTGCACTTTATTGTGTCCGTGTGAAAAGACTATGTTCAAGGGGTGTAATGTTGATTTAAATATTAACTGACTCGCTTGGAAAATAAATTCGAATTGAAACATTTCACGGCATCCTTTTTCTCTTTCCACATATAAGAGCAGCCCTTGCATGTGGAAAACGCGTCTCCGGTGCAACGTGTGTTATTCTTCCTCTGCTGATATCAAAACGAACGCGAGAATGATGAAGACGTCAAATGTGCTTGCGGAAGGGAAAGGGGTTGCAAACTAGAATCGTTATTTCCATCATTACCACTCGACGAGAAGCCCATTTTAGAGAGAGAAAATGGCGCTTATCTTGCAACTTCCCTCCGTCCGCAGCAATTCAAATTCTTTATAAACCAGCAATATGATCATAAATTTTCTTTTTACATGAAATTTATTTATTTCAACCCCTTTTTTCCGATAATGATTTTATTTTGAATGGAAAGGTTAGAAATTACATAAAAATTTTATGACATAAATTGAAATTGTGTTTTACACTCCTACAAGTTTTATCTAGTCACGCCAAAAACAAGAGAACCTTTATCTCAAAACGTTAAGATGCAGTAAATTTTTATTTGATGGAATTAAATTATTTGAATCATTAAAAAAAGGACAATCATCACTAAAGGTTCAAATGCTTTTGGCGGGCGCTTTTTTCATTAAAATTTTAGCTATATCGATCAAAATTTTGAAGTCAGTCTTGAAATTTTGATTTTTTTTTTTTTTTTAATTAATGAATAAAAACCTTTACTGATTTACCGAAGAGGGTTCTTACACTCGCAGCAACTTTATTTTCAAAACGTTTTTATATAAATTTCAGGGGAAAAGTTTGCAATTCAACATGCGACTTTTCACCGCATGCACTTATGTTTACTTCCTGCATGTAATGTCAGTACAACCTCTCTCTCGTTTCTCCTTTGGGGAACGGCTGGTTGCATATACTGTTCCGTACGTGTTTTCGCTCCGTTTCACCCTTACACGTACACAACCCCCACAGCCTTTTCTCTCTCTTTTTTTTCATTCCGTGTGATACTATCCGCATGTGCAATCTCTCTCCCAATTGAGTCGTGGTTTCAAGTCGAGCAGAAACTACACACCAGCAAAAAACGCACCGCTTTTTTTCTTATCCTTGGTTTCGGTCTCGAGGAGTGATTTTATTTGTGGCAATGCATGCAAGCGAATTGGGAGAGGGAGATGAACTCTCTCATCGTTATTATTTCGAAACCACTCTTATCTGCGGGAGTTACTTTGGAGAGGACGCATTACACAACTTTGAGTGTTTAGACGGACTAAATATGCAAGGAATAATACTATAATGCGAGAGGGTTGCAATCTTAGGAGGGAAAATGAGATAGCTTTAAATTGTTGTGCCGGCTTTGTCTGTAATCCAGTCGAATAAGTGCTATTGATAATGGATTGTTGCAATTTCGACGGATTAGTATTTGTAGTGTTGTTCATTTTGGTAATAACTCGGCGAGCTTTCCATTAGATTTTCAAGTTGCAGCGAAATTAATCCGGAAGGATTGCTGATTATTCCAACTCAAAGTCAATCTAATGAAATTAATTTAGAAATTTAACACAAAATCAAAGCCACAAAAAGTGATCATACAAGATTAACATAAATACTAGAAAAAAGTTAAATTTGAAAAAAAAAACTCAATTAAATAATAATTTATTAATATCTTGTATCATTTTTCAATAAAAATATACTGCCAAGTTTTAAAATGGATAATGTTTATCGTGCTCTTTTATTTACCAACACTGGAAGTCTCACGGTCTATAAATAAGACCAAATGGCCATCACGTTTTCCCGATAAAAAATTTAAACCTCTCCAGCATTCAGCAGGTAAAAGCCCACCAATCAAGTTGGAGGAAAAGAGCAAAAGCTGCAACCGAGCAAAAAAAGAACAGAAAAGACCCCTCTAGCTTTAGAGAAAATTCCCAGCAGGCGAGGCGCGCAAATCGATGGGGTTGACCAAATTGAATGCCGTGCAGAGAAAAAAAGGGCCTGAGCTGCATCACTGCAGATGATGTTGCCCCTGATTGCTATCATTAAACGTAGACGCAGCAGATGATAGACAATTAAGACTCAACGGAGTGCGTTTGGAACCGGACCGTCGTTCTGGCTAACAAAGTAGAGATGATCCCCAAACGCGATAACTCAGAATGCAATTCCCTTTTAACGTTGTTAATACTACCTTGGATGCATTATCTCTGGCGCACGGTCGAGAAATATGGTTCAATTACCAGCAGGCAGAACATAAAAGATGGAAATTAACATAAACTCGCGTGTAATATCCTGTAGGGCGTGTGTTATTAAGGACTCCTTATTGCAATGCTAAGAGTACCAAAGAGGTTTTTTTGATCTCCCATATGCCCAATGTAAAATTTTTGCCCCATGAACTCCCAATTTTTTTCTGCTTATCTGTTTAGGGTCATTCAATTATCATTTTGTGCAATTTTGAGCAAAAAATTTCGGGCAGATTTTTTTTAATCGCCATTAACAAAATTCTCCATAAAACGCCATGTTAAATTTCAAAAAATCATATTTCAAGATTAATCCACGCGACCCCCCATTTTTCCTTGAGCAATCAACTCCACTGGTGGGCAGGAATCTATAAAAAAATCTGGGTCCAAAAATTTCGGGCCGATTTTCCGCAAACAGAAGTTGTAGATGTCAATAAGGAGGCCTTAAGCGGCGACAAGAGCGATATTGCGAACGAGCCCCATCTGCGGCCGGCCCCGCTTTTGTGTAAGAGACGCGCACGCAACCGTGGCCTATCTTCTTCTTTTTAATTTCCGAAATTATAAAAAGCTCCACCGACCATTTGTCCCGAAAATTTAACAAAAGGTTAATTAAAAAGAGGCTCTTCTCGACGGAAAATGAACTCGGAAGATTGCAATCGGGAGGAGAAAGAGAAAGCCCCGTTTTTTCTGTTTTTATTTTTTCGTCTTTTGAAGAGAGAAATAAAAAAAGAAAGGACCGCAACAAGTCACAATTTTGCTGCTCGGCGAATTGGCACAAAACCGCGTTTATCTCTTTAACTTTCTTAGCAATAGTAAAACCGATATTTATACTCTGTGCCGACGAGAGCTGAAAAAGCCAACCATTATCGTGGTGAATTAAAGTGATAAATCACTTGGCCGGGGTTATAATTGATCAGAAGAAATGCGCGGAAGGGGACATTGCGAAGAATTATATCAAGCCAAGCAGTTCGTCGTCAGCCATTTATCGCGCAACAATTTGAGCGTGAAATCGTTTTTATTATATATTTTCTCCAATGCGCTGCGATGCGACGCCGTTACTTGTACGAAAATCACTTTTGTGAATATTTATAAATCTGTTTTGTTATCTGGTCAAATTATGTACTTTTAATATATTATAATTATTAAAGGTATCTATAAATAATTTACTTTTAATGTATTAATTGAAGTTGAGAAAAAGCCAACAACAACATCTTCCATTTAAGTTAATTTAAAAAGCCCGCAAAGAAGTTGTTCCTATTATAATTCTCGTTTTAAAGGGTGCATTAATATATAATTATGTCAAATATTCATTGAATCAATTAACAACTTATCAATCAGGTGAAAATAAATTTTGATAAAAAAATAGATTTGGAAAAGAGTAATTAAAATTCAGCGCTGGGAAAATATATTAACAATCAGAGAGATTTTGAACTTTAAAATTAAGATTTGTTCTTCTTCTTCTTTCAGAGAACTCAAATGTTTAAATTGACCATTTAATGTGAGTTTTCTAAAAACTTGTATTTTAGGCATTTGTAAAATATTTTCGGACCAATGATTGATTCCCCTGCGGCGTCTGCAAGGCGAAAAGAGTTAAAGCAATCCATTTGTTTAATACACTTCTTATCGCCGGCGGCGGTTAAAAAGGGGATTAGGAATAATTGATTTCTCGCTCGCGCAACGTCTTTTCCAAAGAAAATCCACTGGTGCCGACGTCGAGAATAAAAATAAAATACCGCCGAGCTCGTTCTTGTTCAAACATGCGGCGCATTAATTTCCCTTGGCTTTGTCTCGGCGACGACTCAATTATTTGCAACGTTGATTAAACGAGCTACTTGAAAGGAATAAAAAGTCCTACCTGTCAGCAGCAAGTAAGCCGAGCGGTTCTTCAGCTGGTCCATCATCGGCTGGATGGTCTCGCGAGTCAGGGTGCGCAGCTCGTTTTCGCGAAGGTCCAACACGCTGAGCAGAGGTGAACCCTGAAGACCGTAGGTGTCGAAAACGGTCAGCTGGTTTCCGCCAAGGGAAAGACGCTCCAGACGGGGAAGTCCGGCAAAGGCGTACTCGCCAATCTTTTGAATTGCATTCCTGAAATAATAATTGCACATTATTAATTATAAAATTCCAACCAACGTCCGACCCATCGACTGTTATTAGTCAAAAAATTTATAAATTCCAATCAATCTATGATTCAACACCTCCCATAGTCCGTTTTTAGTTCTAACCATCAATTCATAAATAACATCAAGCAATATTAATAAAATTTAATTGATGAAACTGAAATGAATACAATTGCAATAAAGTGACAAAGTGATTTCTTTATAAAGTAATGTAATTAAGAGATTAGGATGAAGAAAAATATAAATCTTTTATATAACTTAATAAAAGTATAGTATAAAATTTAAATTTAAACAAGTAATCCAATACCAAAAAATTAGCTAAAAAAATAAAAAAAAAATACAATATTTAATAATAATATAAACATTCCTAAAAAAATAATTTTTAAATGTTATAATAAGTGTTTAAAAAAAAATAACTAATTTCTTGATTTAATAAGATTGTTTTGTTAATTATTTTAAAACAATTTTGTGGTGACTTGATTGCATTAGAGCTATGGCACGCATAGTAAATAAAATATACTTGCCAATGCCATAAATTTATTATTCCCAATGAAAGAATAAATTAATGTCATTTATGTAATACTTAAATTTCCTTAAGTGTATTTAAACATTAAAATCATTCTCTCTAAAAAACGACTAAAAGAGGGAAAAAAAACTTCCAAAAGCTCCGACAACAATTTCTTGCACTGTTTAACTTAGCAGGATAATTTAACCTCCTCAAACTGATTCACCGATTAGATGAGTCCATGTCATTTTCGCTGCTCCCTTTTTTAAATGGACAATTAACAAATTTACGAGTGACACCCGACCCGTAGCAGATAAAAAGGCCACCACTATATGACTGTGTGTGTGAATTACATTAAAAAACGAACAAGCCCGCGTGATTTACATCACTTAAAAGCCCTCGTCGGACAACATAAATAATTCCGATATGCAAATGTTATCTAATTGTAGCGTGACCGTAAAATAAATAATAAAAAAATTCCACACGCGCGGTCGGTTGGCCGTCAATTAATCCGCAATTAGCATGCTATATCAGCATCAAAAGCGGCTGCCGTCAATACTTATTAAAAAAGCGGCAGCCGAAAGAGATGAATTATAAATTATATGCTCGTACCTGTCAAGTTCGATTTCGCGCAGTTCGGGCATCTCGGAAAAGACCATGTCGGGCAGCTCGGTCAACTGGTTTTCGGTCAACTCGAGCCTCTGCAGACGCACGAGGCCGCGGAAGACGCGCGCCGAGATTTTGTGCAAATTGTTCATCAGCAGGATCAACTCGTGCAGGTGCTTGAGCGGCTCGAACGCGTCCTCGTCGATTTTTGTGATGTTATTCTGGCCGATGAAGAGGTGCGTGAGTCGCGGGACTCCAGTGAAGGTGCCGACCTGCAGCGACGAGATCCGGTTTTCGTCCAGGGTGAGTTTCTTCAGGTGCGGCAAATAGGCGAACGCGTCAGGTTTGATCTTCTGGATTTGATTCCTGAAACGAACAAGGAGTGATTTTATAATCAGACAACGCAGAAATACACAGGATGCTTAGAAACGTCTAATTATGAAGAAAAAAAACTCAAATTCCTTAAAAAAAAAAATATAATAATATTTCTTTGGAAATGTTCCAATAGCGTTGAAAAGAATTAAAAATGATATTTAATTAAAATTTAAATTACAAATTCACAATTTTGACGGCTATTTGATTGTTTTATGCAAAGTAAAATAATATTTAAAATAATAATCCGCGACGAATTAATTCTCAATTTGTTCTTGTACGGAAAAATATAAAAATAATTTACAATCATGAGCTATAGATTATAATTCCATAAACAGATGGAAATTTTTATTTATATTTTTATAACTTAGCAACTACAGTTTCTTGATGAAAATATTATTTGGCCCTGCTCGTTTTTGTTGGTTGTGGTTAAATAAACATGAACGTTTTATTACTGGTTGTTTTTAATATAATTTTAATTTTTTTTTTAAATCTAATAATTTTATATTCACCATAATTATTGTTTTGTTTTTTAACGATTATATTTAATTTTTAAGTTTTTTCTATTAAATAATTTAAAATTTGATTTGTTAAATTTCTGCAAGAAATGCTAAATAAATATGTATTATTTTATTTAAGTAAGTGACAGTTTGAATTATAAAAACTATATATATATAAACTAATTGAAAGTTATATGAAATAATACAATTTAATAATTAATAGTCAGGGGGGTTAGCATAGAGTAAACTTCAGTAGGTGAAAATGAACTTCAATTCAATCAAATTATGTAGCTATACCGGTAGCTACTGTACAACAAGTTTTGGAGAAATAAATTGTCTGACATAGCTTAATTGATTATGGCAAATGTTAATTAGAAAATTCCATATGAAAGGGCATATATAGTTTGCAACAAACTAATCCACTATCAGTTCTCAGGATTGTGTTGGCGAATATCCAAGAACAAGGCTAGTTCAAAACAAAAATTTTTCTTTGTGTAATTTTATTAGGCCATTTATTGGTAGTTAAAAAACTTAAAATGGTTGCAAAATATTATTTTTATCAAAAATCTTTTCTAGTAGCGGCCTTATTGTTAAAAAAATGTAATCATTCACTTCATTTTATTTATTTTTTTTTATCTTTTTACATAAAAAAATTTTAGAAAACGTTTTTGACTAAGGACAAGAACAAAGATATAAATAATTATCTATTATTATCTAAATATCCCTTGAGCTATTTGAGGTCTCGAAATTGTTGCAAATGGGTTATATAAATGAATCATTCAAACCTGGTCAGCGTGAGTTCTTCGAGGCGGCTGAGGTTGGCGAAGGCGTGCGGGTGGATGATGGGGATGGCCGCGTACTGGATGTCGATGCTCTTGGCGTTGGGCAGGTGTTTGATGCCGCTGGTGGGCACGTAGTCGAGGTTGCCCTGCGGCCGCACCAGCAGCTTGAACTTGACCAGCTCGGACTGCGACGAGAACAGTTCCCACGTCGGGTCGTCGCGTTTGATCTCGTTGAAGACCCAGCAGGACGCGTCCTTGGCCATCAGCCGGTCGTTGGTGTCGCAGTAACAAAACACTTGGCCGTCCGAGGGCATGTCGCACGCGTTCGGGTTCAGGCGTCGCTCCTCTGAAGACTTGGAGCGGCTTCGCGATCGCGATCCATTCGTCAACTCGGGGTTCAGCACCAGCAGGGTGCAGATCAGGACCATCAGCTTGAAAGCCATTCTGCAACAAATAAAAGAAACCGATGATAATTATAATTTTGAAAACGATTTATTTATTACTATATTTATTAATATTTATAACGATTTTTATTTACTGTGGAAAATTTTTGTGGAAAAACTGGAATATGAAATTTAATATTGATGTCATAATAAAATTTAGAAAAAAAGTAATATTTTAAGTAAAAAAAGTTCAATTAAATTTCAATAATTGTAAATCTAGTGTGCACAATAGACTAATAATTTAATAATGAAATTTTGTTTTCTATCTCTTTGATTTGCTTTTTAAAACTCGCAAGTCAAATTTGAATTATGTATAAATAATATTATACAATAATTATAAATATTATTACAGCCCCCTTGCATTTGTTCTATGAATTTAATTTTTTTTTTTTTAATTAAGTATATTTATTTGAAAAGAAAATTACAAGTCCGGCCAACTCCAATCGGAGTTATCGGCCGGTGCTTATGCGACTAAAGCGCAAGGCTGAAAGCCAAGCACTTCAGCTCATTCACATATTTTTACATGCGAGTTTTTTCTTCGCGGAAGAAGTTTTATTTACACTGTTTCCCCCCTTTTTTTAATTTCCAATGAGAAATTGAACAAAATTTACAAAAATCCTTAAAATAACAATTTTAAAGAAGAATATTTTGAAAATATTACTAACAAAATTTTGATTGAACCACTTTGTTAGCGGTAAACAATCCAAAACTCGGTCAATAATTGAGAATGCGGTCGAAAATAGAGTCTGGTCGGGAACTTTTCCATTAGCAATGCAATTACTTTCGCCTGTCCAGATTCAATTACAAGAGAGTAGCTCGCGTGCGTATATAATTAAACGGTCGGAAATGGAAATCGAGCATAGGATTATATTCGCTCGGCTAGACCCATAGTCAAATTAACAAAGCAGGCAAATAATAAATCTGCCGGCGAAAGAACTAAATATAGGTGTGGTTGCGCGAAAATTTATGCACGTTGGAGCAAAAGGAGGGGCGAAGTCTCGAATTAATTGCACGGACGAGAGAGTGAAACAAGTTAGATCCAGTACGAGCTTTTTAATTAGCTCCGAGTATGAATAATTAAGCGTGAAAATGAAACCTCTTTAGCAAACGAAAACTTCTAACGATAAATAATTTGACGCAGGAAATTTGGAAATTGCGACTCAAATTTGGCACGCAAAACGCCGCACATTAAATTTAACCGCGGGTTACTCATTAAATATGCTGCCGGCGTGATAAATATTTCAACCGCTCTTTCTCTGCGTCCGCCCTAAAGACTAATATTTACACATCGAAAGCACCCACGACGTGCGAGATAAAATTTATGTCTATCTCTGGACTAGAGCGGCATTATTAGCGAAACCGCACTAGCTTTTATCATCTCTCTCTGACAATGGGTGTGGGTGCGATTTTTTTTTAATTCCATCCTTTGCGGTTGTAATTTATTTCAAAATATTTTGTGCTAACCGCACGAGCAACTTTTGTTATATGGTTTAGCTCGCCTCCCAGTTGCAAACTTTATTGTTCGTGGCAAAATCTAGCCGGTGTGTGCAGAGCTAGTGACAAAGAATGTGCCGAACAACAAACTATGCAGGCCTCACATTGTGTGCGGATTTTGTGATTTATACTGCAAGCTTGTGTTCAATGGAATTGTTAGATGGCACGGTTGCGAATAAATTTATCACCAGGTTTATTGTATCAAGCCGAGATCGTGTTTATACAACGTCAGAGATTATTATGCGTTTATTTGTGGATATTTGGGAAATGAAAATACTAATTCACATTCAGAGATCTTGTTTAAAAGTATTCGTACAAAAAGTTTACAAAAAAAGTTTAATCAAATGAAAAAAGAGGGAAAGAGTAACATTTTTGCCTCACTATCGATTCAGTTTTTCATGTGTTAAAAAGAAAGTAAACTTTTAAATTGCTTAAAATTTACATAGAATCAACTAAAAGATTAATGAAAAAAAGTTTCATCTCCATGAAAGCTCTGTTTACGTCCATCGAACAGTCTGAACGTTAAAACAAATATAAAACTCTAAATACTATTCAACTCCTAAAAAATATTAATGAAATTTTCAAATTATTTTATTTGCCATTATTTTCAAATTTTAAAACAATGCCAGAATGTAGTTTATTTAATTCTTTTTAATAAAATTTTCAAATTCTTAAGATTTCATTGATAAACAGAAGAAAAAATAGTTTTCTACTATTTGTTGTTTGTTATGATTTCCATCATTCTCCTTCCATTAATTTTTTCTAATTGGAATCAGTCTGGATTTTAATATACATTTTTTGCTCAAATAAAACAAAATACACAATAATTTTGAAGGGTGCAATGGTCACCGTCCTAAAAAATCAAATCATAAATAAAATTGCTGATTCTCCCTTTCAATTTTTTTTTTAACAAATTAAGCAATATTTATATAGAAGTATAAAATTATATTTTGATTATTTCTCAACACTATACCCTTGTCAGAAGAGACTTGGACTGAAATGGAGATGAAGCATATTTTATTGAACTAGAAGAAACCCTGCTGGGATATATCGAGTGACACCTAATTATGCGTTTGTGCGCGCAAATTCAATTACCCGCAGAGTCCATGCGTCGCCCCGTAGATATATCAGTATATCACGGCCAACAACAACAGCAGCAGGACGATTGAATTACAAAAGGCAATAAGCTGCTCCTGAAACGTTAGACCTTAGGCTTGAAGGGTCATTTTTCTTTTCAGTATAACAATTCAAGCTCTGACTACATAAATAAAATATTGTGTATAACGCATTGTTATATTTCGAGAGCAGTAGGCAAGTATTTCGCTGGGACGCTGATGGTGCAGGCATCGGCATTGACACTTTTGACAAGGAAGAGGCCTCTCATAGATCTAAAAAGTATGACCATCAAAAGGAAAGCAGCTCCAGCGAAAGTGGTTTTTACATTAATTAGTCTTTGATCTCCAATGCTATTATTGGATGACTAATAATGCGATTGAAAGGAATAATTTTTTTTGTCTTAGAATGCAAGAATGCATCATAATTTTTTTGGAAAATATAAAATTGTTCCAATTATCAGCAAATAATGTTAAATTTATTAATTAAAATTTTTAACAAACCCCCTAGTTAATTAATCCAGAAAAATTCTAATTTCAAGAACGTGTTTTTTTACAGGCCAAATGAATAATTGCAATGTAATTTTGCAAAATATCAAATTATTTCAAATGAATCGCATTTCATTAGCATTTGTGATAAACCAGAGGTTGTAACCGTATCTTCAGTTACATTTTTTTTTTTTAGGTCGACAGCTTTTACGTAAAATATTGGGTTTCCCGGAAAAGGAATCGTTTCCTGCATTGGAGCGAGATGCATGACGCGCTTGTATAAAAATTTGCCAGCGTGATTTGTACGTGGTGTTAGCTCGAACTCGTCCTAGTGAAAAGTGTGCCGCAATGCAAGTTTTACAGAAATATTATTGTCTGTTCGTAGGAACAATAGTATTTTTTGTAGTATTTCTTATGCACCAGCACTGTAAACGCGATGAATCTCTAAGAGGTAAATTATTTTCAATCAACAAAATCTCTAATAAATGAATTTAGTTCTTTAACATTTTATTTAACTTATAATTTTTTAAATTTATTAAAATGTAGAACAACTGGAAAATGATGATATCGGCAGTAAGAAGAATTACGACGGCTTGGATGAATATGACAAGAAATTGATGAACCACGCGAAAAACATTTTGATCAAACCGAATGGCCACTACGTCCCTTACGTTCTTGGAAACCCAAATGGAATTGACTATTCTCAAGAAGGAACGGCGATTTTCATCCACTCGCTCATGAAGAACAAAGTATTTTATTAAGAAATGAAATTGAATTCAACCAAATCGAAATATTTGATTGTAAACAGACGAATGGATATTTCGTCGAGTGCGGCGCCTACGATGGCGAGACCTACTCGAATACGCTGGGACTGGAGAAAAATTTCAACTGGACTGGTTTACTCATTGAAGGTGCACCCAAAAATATTGACGTTATGTTGAAGAAGAAGAGACGAGCGTGGATCGCACCGACTTGTTTGAGCACCAAGAGAAAATCCATGACAGTATTGCTGAAATAATTAGATATTTTTTGCCTAGTATTTTCCGTTAAGGTTACTTTCAATGACAACATCAACGGAGGAAAGATTGTGGATGCCGTGAATGGAAGCATTCCGCAGTCCAAGGAGGGAGTGAACGTGGACGTATTTTGCGTCCCTTTCAACACTTACATGAAAGTGCTGGACATAAAGCACATCGACTATTTCAGTTTGGACGTGGAAGGGCACGAATACGAAATTCTGCAGACGATAGATTTCAAGAAAGTAAAAATTGATGTAAGTTATTGAGTTTTTACAGATTTTGGATTGCGCAGTTTTATTTTAAATAATATTTTTATAGTAATTTTTATTTTTAATGAGCATAAACATTATTAATCATAGAGCGTTTATCTTTATTCGCTCCGTAATTAATGTTTCCTCTGAATTTCCTTTTTAATTGCAAACTCGAATTTTGCAGGTAATGGTTGTTGAGCATTTTTTGGCTGGAAACAAATCCGACGGAATTCTCCGCATAATGAAAGAAAACGGCTTTAGTCTGGTTAAAAAAATGAAACTCGACTTCATCTTTGTTCACAATGGAACTTCACAATGATCTTTTTAATTATTTTGTACGTGAAAGACTATTAATAATATTCTATATAATTTAAATAAAAAAATAAAATTAACAATATAACGGCAAAGCTTTCAAGTGAACTTCATTTTTTATGCATGTTACGTTTCTAAATTACTTGTGTCTGTGAAAAAATAGAAAGCAAAATAGGAACCACATTGATCTGTCAAGTGATATGATTGCATGGATAGAATAATAGCCTCACATAATTAACCTTATTATTTTCTAGCTTGCTAAAAAGACTTAAATACGTTTCGCATTTAGTTGCAAATTAAGTTTATTGGTGTACCACAAGGCAATCTCTGCCTCTCGAGATGCATCATCCAAATATTCAAAAATTATAATTGAAAAACTACAAGATTTGAGAAGAGAGAAAAAAATAATAATACACTTAACAAGCTTTTCTTTTCAGAAAAAAAATATCAACATGTTAAATTTTATTCTTTAGAATAAAAACTGATACAAAAGATTTTCTTCTATCGCGTTGGCGAATAGAAAAAAAGCCCTTATTGTTAATTATTTTTTCTGAGAACTCATTTGACTGAAAAAGCGATTAAATATTTACATAGTGTTAAAAAAAGTGGCCTCTGTTTACAATAAGCAAACCAAAACACGTTAACAAAGGAACTCATTAAATTTATTCCTTCCCTCTCATTAAGCAAGTTTTTGAAAGAAAACTAGATATGGGCTTTACAATGTTTAAAAATTTAAAACAATTAGAAGACTTGTGCGCCACAGTAAAGAAAGCTAGGATTTGCTGGCACTTAAAATACCAATTAAAACTTAAAATACTATAAAAATTTCTTATATTGGTGAAAATAAATATAATTTTGAAAATTTCCATATCATGAATTTTAAATAAAATAATTAAAATAAAAGTTATCAATAATGATGTTTAGCCTTAAATATTATTTTTTCAAACTTTAAGGTAAGCCAAAGGATTTTTTTAATAGCCTACTAAATTGAGGATACTAATCTTGTGTTCGTTTCTCTTCCTATATGTTCATCAAAGGTACACTCTGTTGTCTCCGTTTTAATTTTTTCATGAAATCCATATCAAGTTTGAATTTCAAATTTTCAAAAACAACCTTTACGTGTATTAAAAATTCTCCCAAATGACTAAAGAAAACTCGTTTCAAACCGTAAGCGCTTGTGCACATAAATTCAATTTTAAACACATTTGGAAGGAGTGGAGAACATTCTATGAATAATGATGAGCCATACTTCAAGTATCCGATTTTCCAGATTACCCTAAACACGTGTCGATTTCGAAGCGCGCTGTGCATGGCTGGCGATATTATGACGCTGCCGGGTGATGGGAAACATATTGATTTCGGTGTCTGATAAGCAAATACCTCCGGACCTAATGCATATCATGATGATGCTGCGAGGCCGGGCTGCTCTCGTCGCCTTTGTGTGTCTATGAGGACAGAGAAGAGACGCAAACAACCAGACTTGGAGTACCGACGAATGGCACACATAACTTTGGAGGTATAATGTTTGGGGTCAAAGTATAGGTTAAATGTATATAAAACGGAGAGAGGTAGTTTCCATTATGGTGAAGGAAGCTTGTGGCTCTTGTTGACAAGATGCTTGACATTGTTTGTTTGCATTCGAAATAAATTGGAAAGTTCTTCCGTGCCGTGCACTTCGCCTTTTGTTCTATTCAGCAGAGTCGGCGTAATAATAACGACGGCGGGTGCATTATTGAAATTCGAAAAGTTCTGCATTAATTACGATCTTGCGCTCATTTATGTATGAGAGTAGAGCAAAGTGCTGCTGAGCGAGCGGTTTTGGCTGAATGCATCGAGACGACCAGGAGAGAAATCAATACACACCTTCTAAGGCAGCGGATTTGAAAAGTTTCATTCATTTCTTGACTTCATTTAACCGTGCAGCTTTACCAATAGAGAATCCGAAAGTTAAATTTAAAATTGGTGAAATCTTGACGGAGAAAAATAATTATCTTGCAATACTTCTGCACTCAAAAGTTCAAACTTATAAAATTTGCAATGAATAATAATTTCAGAACTAAGTTTTAAATTTTATAATCATTTTTTTAAACGAGTCATGACTTCAAAATTGGCTTTTAATAAGTATTTAAATATCTTTTTGTTTAAGCTTTAGAAAATTTAAAAGAAAATTTCTAGTCAAATACGTTTTTCAAATAATTTAACGCGGATTTCTATAAATCCAATTGAAGGTCAATTGACCCTTTTTTTCACGAATTCTATAAAAAAAAATTAAAATCTGATATAGATATTTTACTGTTCTTTAAAAAAATTCCAGATTGAGGAAAAATTATAATTGGGTTGATAACAATTTTGGCCAAAAATAAACTATTCATCAGGTTTCCTAATGATACTCGCAATCAGAGATGATGATCGACTGCATGTATAATCGGATTAAGAGTATATTTCCTTATAAGGATCATTAATAATTTCAAGAGAAGTTATTTTCGGAACCTGGAGCCTTCTTCAGCGTTGATTAGCACTCGACGAAATGCCAATTTCGAATATAATATTAAAGGATTACACTTGAAGCCGATCTTCACACCTGAAAGAGAAGAGAGATAATATTGCGCCTCTTTTGATTTTGCTCTCATCTCCGCACGCGCTGAAAGACCAGCCCTCCAGGCACTCATTTTCCTCATTTCAAGTCGGCAGCGAATGCGATGCCATTAGCAGAATTAGTCGCGAAATGATATATCTTTGAGGAAAAAAATCCTCCTGACAAGACTGAAGGAGAGAGAAAAACTTTCAAAATGATTTTATCTCCAACTTGTATCACACAAGTCCTAAAAATAAAACATCTCTACTTCTTGTAGGTGTATTTATTATCCAACTTAAAGAGCATCTCTTCTTCTTCAACATCAAGGTGGAAAGTTTTTATTGCCTTATAAGTTTTGCAAGTCCAGAAAAAAACGTTCTCTGTTTTAAAGAGAGAGAAAGCCAGTCCGAGTTGGTTAATTAAAACCATACGAGCGCTTTAAAGTGTAGCTTCGGGCATGAGAAATATACAATTTTGGCTGATTAGACGCGTAGATAATGATGTGGGGCGAGCAGGCAACACATTTATACGCTTCTTTAACACCTTTATGCGCTCGTGATATGGCTGCACGCTGGGCAATTTAAGTTGGTGAGGAGAGAAGAATGAATATCATTAACGTGGACACGGCGCGGTGCTAAATGGCGAAATTAAAATGAGCACCAGAGCATAAGCACGTCGCATTTTTCAAGATGAAATGGGCGGACAGATTTATTATGAGAACTAGATGTGAAGTGAAACGTTTTTGTCGGTGGACAGACTGAATCGTTTAAATTAAAGTTTCAAATCTGTGTCAAGATAAAAAAAACTAGATTATAAAAAAATATATTATTTATGAAAGAAAGTTTGATTGAGTTTTAAACAAAGTTAGCAAATGATAATTTTTTTTTAATTTTGTAGAAAAAAATTATCAAATTCAATTAATGAGTTTCAATGAACCGGCATAAGCAACCGAATAAAATAATATATTTAATTTCAGGATGAGAAATAAAAAGCTGACAAAAGTGAGACAATTTTTACTATCATCCTCATTAATGAAAATGTAGTTTAAAATTTTATAGCTTTTTTACATTCTCTCCAAATTTTTCTAAAAGAATAAATGAAATTACCAATTTATTTATGTGTATGACTCACATTTACGCATGCGGGCGCAATTTGAAAGTGCCTGTCCTCGGCCTGACCGATGCCTGCTCTCAGCCGGGTTTTAAATTTATTTCGAATATGAATAGAAATTTATGGGCTCAGTCGGTTCGCTCTTCGAGATAAAGCACGGCGACGAGGATCAGATGGTGTTTGCTCAAAATAATGTATGTATGATAAAGTTGTCGTTCATAAATTCATATTCCAATCTCTGCAGGAGAGGCTGCTCTTCGGCACACGTCTCAAAGCCATCGCCACTGAATAAATATATATCTTTCTATCTCTCTCTCTCTCGGCCCAGCGTATAATGTATTATATGGTGAAGGCGACTTATTGTATGTAATAAAATATACCGGGAGCGGAGAGTGGCTCGGGCCAGAGAGAGCTTATATTTCAGATTCGGATAACTTTTTGCCGCACAGGTATATCTCTCTCTATCACCTTTGGCACGAGAATAGAACGTATCTCTTCCAGCGTTTTTGCTTATTTTTTTTCTTCTTTCATCCGCTGCAAAGTGCACCTTTATCTCCTTCTCAGCAAAACCACCGCGGAGCTAGTTTTTGTTGCGAAACTGCTGATAAGTTTTATAGATCATTTTCGCAGATGATTCGGTTTGCTGCTCGTGAATTGAATTTGAGTGAAAGAATCCCTTCGGCTGCGAGTAATAAGGCTTTGCATGTTTTGCGTTCAATGCAGAAGAAAGCTTATCTTTGAAGAACGAGTAGGTAGGCGAAAAGAACGCGAGAGATATCGGCAGCCTGTTGGACGCGCTTGATGCGCGTATTGCATACTTTAACTTTCGATCCAAGAGTCGTTAAACTGCGGCGTAAACTGCATCTGACGGTTTTCTCAATTTGCTTCTTTATACCAGGTGTTCTTTAGTAAGTGTATCTAATCGGCTCGGGAAAATTAAGCCTGACAAACTTCTTCCTTAAAAAAACCAATATAAAATTAAAAATATTTTGACATAATTTGAACGCTGATGGTTACTAAATCGATTTCTTAATTATTGCAATTAATTGAGCAATCTCCTTTAATTACTTAAGCAACTAGCCACTTAAAGTTTTTTATTAATTTTGAGAAAATTATTTAAAATAAAAATAAAATTGTCAAATTCACTTGCTTTTTTAAAAGATATTCATTTAATTATTTTCCCATGTGAAAATTATTGTTATTTATTTCCAATCAATTATGTTTTACAGCTGAAATTACTTCGCTCCACGTTTTTTCTGAAAATAATGTAGTGATCTTAATTAGATTTAATTTAATTCAATGCTGAAAACCTCATTTATACACAAAAACGTTTGTCACCAAAAATATAAATTACGACGTCGAGATGCTTTTGAAATGTCACCCACAAATCA